GGTGATGCAGCTGAGATGCCAGGCGGAGCTGCCCTGAAAACCAGGCTGACTTCTGCCACAATCTGCAGCCACGAAACTGCAGGGCCTGCCAGTCGAGACGGTTGCCAGTGCAGGCAGGCTGCTGGCCAGACTCCCTACACGGATCAGAAAGGCGAGTGGACCGATGGATGGGGGCGTGGGCGATCGGACGGATGGAGGGAGAGAAGGATGGAAGGAAGGAGGGAGGGATGGACAGACAGATACCTGGGTGGACGGGCGGGGGCCTGGGAGGATGGGAGGACAGTTACCCGGGGAGGCGTCCCCCCAACCCCCATCTTACTCAGGGTGCTTGGGCACTGCCTTGAGAAAGCAAACTGGCCTCGTGAGTGAGGCAGGGCTTCTGGGTCCCTGAAGTCCAAAGTGAAGTAGGTTTTAAAAAACAGTCCTCGGGTGGCCTCTCTCCACCCAGAAAACCAGACAGGGCGCAGCCCGCCTCGGCCTCGGGGACTCGCGGCTGCTCCCCACGCGAGGCCAAGCCCTGCTGGCACAGAACCCCTCAGGCGTACTCTGAGCCTGGCCGGGCAGGTGCAGAACCCGGCGGGCGCAGAACCGGGCCAGGCAGGTGCGGAACCGGCGTCTGCGCGCGGGGCGGGCCCGACCCAGCCTCCCGGCCCGCCCGGACCTGCCCGCCGCGGCGCAGTCTCGCGGGATCGCGCTCGGCCGTCGGGTGGCGGGGACGGGCAGCGACAGAGGCCGCGACCGCGGGTGAGGACTGAGGGGTCCAGATCGGGCGCGGGGTTCCCGCGGGTCGGCGGGGGCTTGAGTGCGGAGTCTGGCGGGGGGCGGGATCGGGGCGCGGGGACCTCGGGGAACGGAGGGGCTCTGGGGTGCGGGGCCTGGACCGGTGTAGCTGGGGTCTGCTGGGTCCGAGGCCGAGTCGGCCCGGGACCGGGCGGTGAGAGCCCGGAGCAGGTGCGGCAGGGCCCGGCGAGCGCAGGACCCGAGGGGAGGCGGGTGGGGGCGGGGAGGCTCACTCGGCGGCAGCGCAGCGGGACTCGGACCCCATCCCGGGTCCCCGACCCCCGCAGGGGGACCCTCGCCTCCCAACGGAAAGAACCCAGCACAGCTCCTCGAGTTGGCCTTTGACAAAACAAACACAAAACCAGAGAGAGAAAGAATATATCCGCAAGACTGCCACGGAAATGAACTTTATTTAGTCTTTAGAAGGTCGTCGGGAATTTCCCTGGACCTCGGGTTTCCTGGGCGGAGGACCATTTCCTAAGGCCTGAGCTCCTGAACCCCTCTGAACGTGGTCCGGCCACCGTGTTCTTGCTCTACCCCCGCCCGCTTGCCCCATCTCTTGCACTGCGAGGCTCAAACCTGCAATCACCAGGGCCTGGAGCCAAGCAGAGCCAGGCTCCCTGCAAATTACACACCCTGCAGATGAAAGGCCGTCTGGGTGGAGTTTCCCGGCTGGCTTCCCACAGCGGGCATCTAACTCCGTGCTGTGCTCGGGAGGCCGTGGTCACACATGTGGCTGATAACACCCTTCGGATTGTTTTTACAGCAACTGACCCAGAATCCATTTCAGGAAAGCAACATGTGTCAAAATGGTAAAACGATGAAATGAGGACTACGAAAATTTTCCCTTTGGATGGCGTTCTCCAGACGTGAAAAGAGCGGCTCAGTCTGCCTCGTGGTAGAGTGAGGAGTGTGAGGGAAATGGAGAAGCTGGCCTTCCTGTCGCTGTGCGTCCTCCTGACCCGGACCAGCGGGCACAGCCTCTTCACTTGCGAGCCGGTCACCGTCCCGCGGTGTGTGAAGATGGCCTACAACGTGACCTTCTTCCCCAATCTCATGGGGCACTACGACCAGGGCATTGCCGCCGTGGAGATGGAGGTGAGGAGCCGGAACGTGCTTTGGGCCTTGCTCCGGACTAAACCATGGCTTTTACTTTTACGCACCTAGAAGGATTTCTTCAAGTTTTGCCCAAGTCATATTTGGAGAAATCCTTCTGCAAATTAAATCCCCTTTCTGCTACATATTACATACACATAAGTTCCTCCAGTAACTCACTTACATGAAGTGTGGCTATGAATGCGCTCTAAACATCTTATTCCTACCAAATGTTTTCCTTTTCTGAATTAAGTGCAGTAGCACCTCCAGAAGTAGGAACTCTGAACTTTTTCTAATTTGCCAAACATATAACCTATATTCCTTGGACCAAACGGAAGAAATTCACATTTTTATAAGTAGCTATTGTTCATTTGGCTCAGTTTTCCCAAAGTAAAATAAATTGCTGGAAATCTGGCCGCAGACAGTGTTTTACTAAAAAGTGCCTGTTTTCTAAAGATAGCGTTGAAGTATTCCTCATAAGACAATTATTAGATAAAATTACAAGGCACAGGTGACACTAAAGATCGCCTTAGGTCCCCTGTTACCTGCCCCTGGCTTAGAGATATGCAGATTGTTGCGTGGTTTAGAAGAAAGAACTGCCTGTAGAGACAGGAACCCGCCCTCCCACACAGATCTGGGAGCTTGATACATCTGGAGGAGGAAAGAAGACAAACAGGCTTTTTGGTCTTTCTCCATAAAAACTGTCTGAGGAAGGTACAGGACCCCCTCAGGTTGTTTCTGGGAGGTAAACTTTGAGCCAGGCCTGGTGGTGCATGCCGATGATCCCAGCCCCCAGGAGGCTGAGGCAGGAGAACCGCAAGGTCAAGCCCAACCTGGAGAGTTTAGCAGTTTAGATTGTTTAGACAAGTTTAGTTTTGTCTCAAAATACAAAATTAAGGAAAAAAGGGAGGGCTGGGGTGTAACAGCTCAGTTCTTGGGGCAACTCAGTCTGGGGGGGGGTTGATTTGGCAGTTTGGAAGATCTTGTTCTTCATTTGTTGACTACCTTGTTGTAGACGCATGTCTAGATTAGGCAAGTTTAAGAGTACTAAGTAGGTGTAATTTTAAAAGATACTCAAGATTATATCATTATGAGTGCCTTTTCAAGCTAGTGCCAGATGTGCTTTTGAATGCTGAACCAATGATGTAGTAGGATCTTCATCGATGAATCAGAACCATTTTGATGACTTAATCTAAATGAGTATTCAGTGGTACTGCACGAGCAGTCCTTACAGTATGTGTGTTTATTTGATGGTTCTATGCTTTGGTAGTACTCTTTTAAAAAAATTTTATTTATTTATGTGTGTG